AGGTTGTGGATACCAATGTGTTCAATGTGAAAATTGTTGGTGGCAAAACTATTTTTTTTGGCAATTATTTCGAAAGGTTACATCAAAACATTCAACTCACCATTTTCCAGAAGAACAATAACATTTCCTTTTTACATCAACTGCAGCATAACTGATGAAATGATCCTGTGTCCAGAGGGAATCTAACCAGCCAGATACTAAAAAAAAAACAATTTAATAACTTTAAAACTGTTGATAGAAAAGTTGAAATCGATTATGCATTTCTGGACAACATGTTGTAATTTTGGTAATTTAAGTTGTTTGCACAAAAATGTTGTCGTTGGTAATATATCATCAAAACCCGAAATCAACTGAAAAGTAGATGCTAATCACAATCACAATCACAATCACATTGTGGTGTGCATTTGCGATTATTGAAAGTGTGTCTGAAAAGCAGATACAATTTGTTGGATATGTCATGTATGAATGAATGTCATAGTGCTTGTGTTGGAAAGAGTATTTAACAAGTCATTATTAATGACACAGTTCCTGTGTAACATTTCATTCATGCCTAAGATAAATTAACATGACCAAAAAGCAAGATGACTGCAACTCTGTCATCTTTTATCTGATCACAAATTGAATTGTTATGGACATCAAATTAGATAATATATGCAATCAAATTACATAATATGCAAATCACTGGATATATGAGCAGGTAAATTGTTTCTGAATGAATTTGTAGTGTATAGTCAGTAATTGAGAGTGATTAATAGACTAATCTAGTATTAACACAATTCATTGAAAATGACACAGTCCCCGTTAAATTTAGTTCTCTTTGTGCTTGTCATATTAAAGCGGAGAGGCAGAGTGAATGGCGAGCAGAGTTAAAGTGTAGGTCAGAATAACTGTCATGTCAAAAAAGACACCAACATTAAGAGTAGGCTAGGCATAGGCCTGATTCAAAAATGTCTAAGCATGTTCAGGTTATCACATTTTAAACAAACAAGATGGCTGCCAGTCGGCCATATTTGATCAAACTGCTAATTGAATTGAGATGTACATGTATCCATTTATGACATGCTAAATATCAATGACAATGATACATGTGTGACAGAGATATAGTAATATGGCAAAAAATATAAACAGTCGTTATTCGAACTCCTGTGAGAGTATTAGAGATACATTAAAAATAAATTAAAAATTACTTGAACTCGAGATATTGATGGAAAAGCTTATGCAAATAAGGTAACTAATATGAACTGATTTAAGTGTAAAACTAATAAGGTCTGCACAATGTAAAAGTAATAAGATCTGTGTATTGTAATATCTATGTACCAAGTTTCATTGAAATGTGATTAGAACCAAAAAACTATTAATTATTATGCTAATTAGAGAATTAATATGAACAGATTTAACCCAAAATTAATCAGGCTGTCTAATGTCCTAGAACATTTATGTACCAAATTTTATTAAAATGTGATGATCAGTACTTGAGATACCAGTATTAATTATGTTAATTAGGTGATTAAGAAGCATAAATATTTACCAAAAACTAATATGGTGTAAAGTCCTAGGTTCATTGAAATGTGATGATGAGTACTCTTTAAAAGTGTTATTAAAATCCAATGAGTGTTTCTTTAGACATCAGTGCAACAGCCATGGAACAGAAAATAATTAACTAATTATGCAAATTAGGTAATTAATATGCACAAATATTTACCCAAAAACTAATTAGGTCTCTCTGCATAGTCCTAGAAGATCTATTTCACAAGTCTCATTAAAATGTGATGTTCAGTACTTGAGATATCAGGTGAAAAGCTGAAAATGAACTAATTATGCTAATAAGGTGATTAATATGCACAAATATTTACCCAAAAACTAATTAGGTCTCTGCACAGTCCTCAAGTAACTATATGTACCAGGTTTCATTGAAATGTGATCATTACTACTTGAAATATATCAAAAGCTGAAAATTAATTAATTATGCAAATTAGGTAATTAATATGTACTCATATTACCCTAAAAACTATCAGGTCTGTGCAGTGTCCTATGACATCTATGTACCAAGTGTCATTGAAATGTGATGATTACTACTTGAAATATCAAAAACTGAAAATTAATTAATTATGCAAATTAGCTAATTAATATATACTGATATTACCCTAAAAACTATCAGGTCTGTGCAGTGTCCTATGACATCTATGTACCAAGTTTTATTGAAATGTGATGATTACTACTTGAGATATCAGTGGAAAAACCGAAAATTGATTAATCATTATGCAAATTATGTAATTAATATTGCACAGATTTTTACCCAAAACTTATCAAATCTGCGCATTAGTTTGGAGCATCTGTGTGCCAAGTTTCATCAAAAACTGATGTATGGTTCTTGAGATATCAGTGGAACAGACGGACACACATACACACACACACACACACACACTAACTGCAAAGACTCCCTTTTTGTGCTTCGCACACGGGAGTCAAAAAGTGGTTCAGCAAGTAGGCTAGTTGTATTCAAACCAATAATACGCATTTTTGCCAATGATTTCCAACACTGTAATAAGTCTGAGTAAAACGCTTGTAGCCATTTTCCAAGTTTATCCACAGTAATGGCTCGATTGCAATAACGTACAAAAGTGATGACAGTGAACAGCCCTGACGTATGCCCCGTGAAAGCGATACAGGTGCAGTGAGGGCGCTGTTTATACGGATTAGTGATTGTGAATTGAAATATATGAGACTGATATAACTAATGAAAGTAGGACCAAAGCTAAAAGCTTTCAAAGTTTTAAACAGGTAATCATGGCGAATCCTGTCGAAGGCTTTTTCCTGATCGAGGGCGACAATACCCAATGGAGAGTTATTAATGTTTGCATAATCAATGCAGTCTCGGAGTAAGTTAATATTGTCATGAATATGACGGTTCGGAATGTTACAACTTTGATCGGAGTGTATGATAACTAATAACGGAGCGGAGACGTAGTGACAATGTTTTGGTGAGTATTTTGTAGTCACTACAAAGCAGACTCACAGGGCGCCAATTTTTCAAAAGAGTATTGTCCCCCTTCTTTGGGAGCAAGGTGACAACCGCCTTAGTGCATGATGTGGAGGTGGGCAATTTATTATCCTGAACTGAGCACAACATAACATCATACAGATCGTGATCAATGACATCCCAGAATTTCTGATAGAATTCGTACAGTATGCCATCAATGCCAGGGGTACGTCCAGCAGCAAGAAGTTTAACAGTTTGTTTGAATTCATCATATGTGATGACGTTAGTGAGATTGCCATCGTCACACTTAAGGTGGGTGATGGTCTTTTTCGTGCCGTGCTGTTTTTCGACTTGAAAAAAATATGAACTCGGAACATCGCTTTCATTTAAAAACCTGTGGTGCGCACGCATAGTAGATCCTTGAGTTTGTTGTAAAACTATGCGTGTCAAAAGTTGTTTTTTCTCATGATAAATCTCAGGAAATTCACTACCATTTCTCATGGAGTGCTCTATTTGATGGATTTCATTTTCAAGGCGCATTTTATCTTGTTTAATGTTGTGGTTTTTAAAATGACAGTAGTCTTGAGTTAACCATTTTATCTTATTTTTGCCGATATCCCACCAACATTGTAATTTGTTGAACATGTTGCGCTGAGTCTGTCAATAAGCCCAGAAATCAGTAAAGGTATTAACGTACTCAACATCCCCAAGAATTTCAGTATCCATACACCAGACTGGATTCTTATTTCTGGTGTTACCAAAGGAAAGTTTTATAAACAGTACAGAGTGATCAGAAAAAGCACAAGCGTCGTTAGTTATTTGTATTGTACTTATTCTACTGCGCATGTGCTTACTGATGTAAAACCTATCAAGACGTACCCGTGTACACACACGTCCCCATGAATAATAAGTGATGTCACCATGATAGTGACGCCAGGTGTCAACAAGTTTAAAGCGCCCTAACACGCTTTTGAGAGAACGCGATGTGCGTATGTCTGGCTCATTGTCGCCGTTACGATCAAGGTCAGGTGAAATAGTGCAGTTGAAATCACCCCCTATTATAACGGGGTCATTGTTAAGACTGTTGATATGATTTTTTTAGTTTTTGAAAGCATTCAATGCGCTCATTACTGTCAATTGGGGCATATACATTAAAAAGGTGAAAAGGACTGTTGTTTATTTCCACGTCTGCGTGCAGAAGATGACCATGAATAATATTTGTATGTGATAAAACAACAACATCGGAATTGGGTGCAAAGAAAATGGACACACCAGCGTGATTTGTAGTCCCATGAGAAAACAAACCAATACCTCGCCACACAACTTGCCAGGTATTAACATCCGAAGGTAGTGAGTGAGTTTCCTGCAAAAAGTAGAAATCACACGGATGATCACGTTTCAAGAATTCAAAAATTCTGTACCTTTTCATAG